GAAACTACTAATAAAAAAAATTAGAAACAACTAGGTGTGGGTATGAAACCACATACACTAGAGCCTGAGTGTGGGTATGGAACCCCACACTCGTGGCTAACCAACTATTTCTTCATTCCCCCTCAAGTTGGGAGTAGATATTTGTCATGCCCAACTTGCATCGATCTGTCTCCAATTTGCCTTTTGTGACTGCTTTGGTGAAGAGATCAGCTAACCGCATGTCTGAGGCAATGTAAGGAAGGCATACTTCTTGAGATGCGACTCGCTTTCGGATAAAATTTTTGTCAACCTCAATATGCTTAGTCCTGTCATGCTGTATTGGGTTGTAGGCAATATTAATTGCAATTTGATTATCACAATACAACATCAGAGGCTTCTCATAATCAACCTCCAACTCATTAAGCAAGGATCTCAGCCATAACACTTCCGCAACACCATTGGCCATGGATATGTATTCCACTTCTGCACTGGAGCGAGCAACATTTTGTTTCTTGCTTCTGCAGGAAATAAGATCCCCCCCCACAAATGCACAATATCCAGAGGTAGACCTCCTATCATCAACACATCTAGTTCAATCCGCATCTGTATACACTTCTATTTTCATATGACCATTATTCTTGAAGAGTATACCTCTCTTTGGACATCTCTTTAAGTAGGCAAGGATCCTTTCTACTGCAGGGAGATGGGTGGTCGTAGGAGAATGCATGTATTAACTGACAACACTGACGGCATTAGAAATATCTAGTCGGGTTAGACAGAGATAAAGAAGTTTTTTTTTTATGAATAGAGATAAAGAAGTTTCCCAACCAGCCTTTGGTACATAGCCATGTCCTCAAGGATTTCTCAACTTTCTGCACTTATCTTATGGTTAGGATCAATGGGAGTATCAACAAGTTTCACTCCTAACTTGCTAGTTTCTTCCAATAAGTCCAGAACGTACTTCCTTTGAGAGATGAAAATGCCATGCTTAGATCGAGTTAYCCCAATTCCTGGGAAATAGTGTAACTTTCCTAGGTCTTTCACTTCAAGTTCCTTGTGAATGTGCTGTTTAAGGGTTTCAATTTCACTAGTGTCACTTCCTGTTATCACAATGTCATCTACATAGGCTGCAAGTAGAGTCAGGGAATGACCTGTCTTCTTAAAGAAGAGAGTGTGATCTGACTGAGCCTGTATATATTCGAATTTGTCCAAAGGCAGTCTAAACCTATCAAACCAAGCTCTCAGGGATTGTTTCAGCCCATACAAGGCCTTCTTCAAAAGGCAAACTTTCTTTCCTGCTTCTGTACTATAAAAACCAGGGGGTAACTCCATGTATACTTCCTCCTGCAAGTCTCCGTTGAGGAAGGCATTCTTAACATCTAGTTGAAGTAGTGGCCATGAGAAGTTTGTAGGTGCAAAGGTTTGTGTGAAGGCATTCTTAACTCTGATAGTGTTCATTTTTGCAATAGGTGCAAAGGTTTCTGTATAGTCTATGCCATAAGTTTGTGTGAATCCCTTTACAACCAATCTGGCCTTATACCTCTCTACAGTACCATCAGCATTATATTTCACAGTAAACACATCTGCATCCAACAGGTTTCTTCCCTTCAGGCTAGTTAACTAGTTCCCATGTATTATTGACAAGAGCATCCATCTCTACTTGCATTGCTTCATTCCATTCAGGTATCAAAAGAGTTTCATGCACTTTTTCGGGTATAGAAATAGAATAAATAGATGCCAAGTAAGATCTGTAGGATTCTAAGAGACAATTATAGGAAAGGAACTTGGAGATGCAATGGGCAATGGATGTTGTGCAACAACGCTTCCCTTTACGAATAGCAATTGAAAGGTCAAGGTCATCTATCGGTGAAGGCTGAACCTCTGTAACAGTGGGATCAAAGTATCCATGTAACATCACCAAAAGCATAAATGGAAGATGAGAAGTGAGCATTATCTGTCAAAAGCAACCTATATATGCAGAAGATGATGTCAAACAGCCATATGAGGTGTATGCATCCAAACCAAAGTATCCTCCAAGTTATGAACAAGCTGTGGGAGTTGGATTGAAAGTATTAAATTAACCACTGGTTCAATAAAAAAGTCATGCAAGCGATTTTGTAGCCAAGAGTGAGAAATTGGATGAATGAAATTAGCCATTTAGAGACAATAATTAGTAGAACTTGGAGCGTCATGCAAACAATTTAGTAGCCAAGAGTGAGAAATTGGATGAATGAAGTTAGCCACTCAGAGACAAGAATTAATAGAACTTGGAGCTGAATTATGAAAATTTGGAATTCCCCCATAGATAACCAAGGATCATTAACACAGTCAATAGACCAGCCATTGCCTACCTGCCATCTGCAGTCCTATCTTAATGCCTATTGGCATTTAAGCATACTATTCCACACATGAGAAGAGCCAAATCTGATCGGAACCGTCCAGAAGCTCTGATTACGATATAAATATTTTGAGCACAAAACTTTAATCCATAATTGATGCGTATAAGTTAAGAAATGCCAACATAACTTCAGAGCCACATTTAACATCCTGAAATCTTTGAAACATGGTTTTGGAACCACTGTTGATTCAGATGGTTGGACCATTCAGTCTAGGAATCATTCAGGCAATCAATTCCGTTTTATTCTAAATTTGGTCTTTGAATAAAATTTATTGAATCAGTTAACGATTCATTGATCTGGGTAGTCAAACCATCGACCCGTTCAATGATTTTTGACCGTTTTTTATTTTTAATTCTTTTGTCAGAACAGACTGTCCATTTGAACTGAACGATCGAACCATTAACCCAAAAACTAGTGGCCAAAACAATTCCATTTCTAAGTCATTTTTTAAAACCATGCTTTGAAACCTAGACCACCATGCAATTTAGGCTCACAAAAGGATGTCCATCTTTTTACATAAAAGTAGCGTTTATCATAAGTATAACTCCACCAAAATTTCCTAGTAAGAGGTCACAAAATGATTTAGGAAGACATAACATAAGTTGGAAGAGAATTAATGGTGCTGTGAATGAGAACTGAACGACCAACATGTGAAAGAAAACGACATTTCCAATTCTCCAATCTAGATTTGACTCTATCAACTACCATCTTAACATCGACTTTGCACCTCCGGTTTTCATGAAAATTACAGCCAAGATGAACCTTATTTCCAGTCATCGGTTTTACACCCAAATAATTAGTCATTCTAATACGCCCTCTGCGAAACACATTACGACTAAAGAAAATCGAAGACTTCTCATAGCTAACCTCCTGGGCTGACCAGGAGCAAAAGAGGTTAATTCGGTGGACTTCTCTGAAAGTACCCTGCCCAAATATAAGTATGTAATCTACATACATGATGTGGTTTAAGCCTTTAAGGTAAGCCCACCATAACCTAAGCGGAGCCCCTTGAGGTGCTTGTCATGTATATTATTCAACAACATCCAGTAGAGGACATCAACTCCCAATATAAACAAGTAGGGTAATAAGGGACACCCTTGACAGAGACCACGTTCAGGAGTGAAAGGTGTAGTAGTCTCACCATTGAGTATAATGGAATAAAAATCAGTGGCTATGCAATTGAAAATCAAAGAGCAAAAATTTTCCGAGAAACCTCACAAACGAAGAATGTGCAGTAAGAAACTCCATTCCATGCGATCATATGATTTCGAGAGATCAAGCTTCAAAATTAAAGCACCAAACTTCTCCTTCTTATGAATTCTATCGAGGAGGACTCGGGCAATTATTTAAAATTTGGTGTGCAGGACTGAAGGCAGTTTGCATTGGAGAGAGATCAGCCTAGGGGGTAAAAATTTTAACCGAGAAGTGATGATTTTTGCCATTATTTTGTAAATGACATTTGTGAGGCCAATTGGCCGGAAGCCAGAAACACATTCTGTACCATCCTTTTTTTGGGTATAAGTGCGATGTTTGTACCATTTATATTTTTAATCTCTTGAGGGTGTGCAAAAAGATATTTGATATAGTTCACCAACTCCGGACCTATGTCATCCCAACTTTGTGATAGAACAGGGCTGATGTCCCGTCTGGACCAGGGGCTTTGGTTGGGCCAATAGCAAATAGAACTGACTTAGTCTCATGGTTTTCAAAACCGGACCAGACCTGATGGTCGGATCGGAAAAATCGGGAATCAGTCATCTAACCGGTTTCATTTTTTCCTCAAAATCGTTGATTTTGGTCAGCAAACTGCTGAATTGGTCGGCTAATCGTTCGAACCGTTCAAACAGTTTTGACCGTTTTTTAATTTTTTTTATTTTTTTGTCAGAATGGACTGGTCATTCGGGTCAAACAGTCGGACTGTTCGAACTGATAACCGGACCCCTAACCGGTTCGATTTGATTGTGCATCAGTGATTAAAAACAATATGCGTTGACATCTTTAACATTGTATTTTTAACATGTACCAAATATTTATAAATGTATTACAATTGAACTTTAAATTTATCTGAGGGAAGTTACTACGGATTATAAACCACCACCAAGTGGATTTGACAACGTAGTACAGGGTTGATCGTGTACAAAAGCCATTATATTTGGTCTAGACATTCTCATCCGATGCCCGATTGCGGTCTTGATCCTGTAGGCTGTAATATGCGACAATGTCGAAAGATGGTTGCATCCATACTGTCTATACTTCAATATTGTATATCCCTTACTACCTTCCGAACTTGGGTCAGATTGGGGGTTGAGAATTTGTTAAATAATGAATGAACCGGAGTCCAAGCCAAAGCCTGGCGAAGTAGAACTTGGGTCAGCTCGACTCACCTTCATGGAGTAAGAGAAAAACTGTCATTGACCCAGGTAGTCGAACCGGGAGGTTTTTGAAGGTTTTGATCGTTATATCAGGCAAATTAGTGACCCGGACAGGTAACTTTTTTCAAGGAAATAGAATGAAATTGAGTACCTGGGAACTTCGTCCTTTTCAAATCAGGACACAACTCCGATTGATTCCCAGAAATAAAAGTAATTAATTGCTCTTACATGTTCCCGCAACTTGAAGACATAATAATAAACTATATAATCATTTGAAAGCTTCATCATAAATACACTAATAATACAATACAAAATCATGTTACAACCTCGCAAAGAGAATTCAATGAAACAATTGAACCACAAAGTGAGAAAAAAAAAAAAAAATTGTATCATCATGGGGTTGCCTTTGCCAGTTTCTTTGTGCAACTCTTTGGTATATGAATATTATGAAAGTTCGGCTCCTTTGGAATCGTTGCATGCCTTCTTCCCCTTGTTGAAGACCCGACAGCACCAGCCTTTGCACTAGTGGTGCTTGTCTCAATGGACTCCGCTGCTGCTTTTGGTTGTGAAACTATTTTTGAGGTTTCTTTTGTTATATTGAGCTGATTCGTTGATGCTAGAGAAGTAGTTTTCTTCATTAATGAAGCCACCCTGCAAATAAAATGGTGGGCAGAAGGGAGGTGGTTTTTTAGTTTGATCAGAGGAGATTGAGAATTTATCATTACTCTAAGACAGAAATTCAGAAATTAGACCAACCTTTGAGTCCTGATGCGTTGTTGCTGCACCGAAGGTGACATAGCCTGTTTGGTCCTGCTCTTTGGGTTTTGGGCTGTAACCTCCCTGCCATCTTCTAACTGCGTACATTGATTGATCAACATTTAGCCTTCCTAAACAAAATTTGAATCTGTTCACACCTAAACTTTATCTATCAGATAGGGAAAAACTACACCTTTTGTACCTTCGGCACAATTGAGGCCATCTTTGTCTCTGCTGAAAGGTTTGATGTGTTATGGTATGCAGGTTTCATCCCTTGCTGCAAGTTTGTTAATCCTGTAAGTTTCAGCAGAACATCTAGAGGAAACATTCTTGGGAAAACAAAAGGTCGGCTTCTCAACTTACAAGTTGAATCTTTTGAACATTTCTGTCTGTTTGATTTTTGTTGCCTTCCAGTGCAAAATTTTCATGTTTACGTTGTTTTTGGGATTTCTCATTCTGCAAATCAAAATAAAATGTTGGAGTTCATCATGAAGAAGGAAAATAAGTCAGCTACCTTAAATTAAAAAGCTCACCTGTAGCTCATCTCCTTGCCCGTGCCTTCTTTGCGCACTTACAATTGTAACGCTTGGAACTGTAGTTATTCCTTTCAAAGGAGGAAGAAAATTTAATCTTCTCTCTAAGTTGGCTTCCTTAAGAATTCCTCTTTCCTGGTACAACCACTAGTTTGTCAGATAAAGCATCAAGATCACTGTGACTTGCAAACCAGAACTTAGTTTAACACTTACATCAGTTCTTAGTCGGAAGGGCTTAGGATTTGTTAACTTTGTTTTCTTATACTTCACTCCTTGGGTACCAGCAGTAACAGAGACAGAGCATCCATTAGATTTTTTACCCGTGACTTGAGTAACCTTATGATGGTTTTGACAAGCTTCATTATGCCTGCCCAGAATTTTCCTTTCGGAGTGGTCGGAATTGATATTCAATTTTCTGTGTCAGTTAAATTCAGAAATAAGTACAGTTGGCACAAAGTTGTGAAATACTCTCAGGTAATTGCGACATAAAAATTTTAATTTTAGGAGTATAGGGCTGAACCTGTTATTATCAGAAGATAAATCATTTTCTTTGTCATCACTTTCTACTGCCTCCTTATCTCCTGCGCCATTGGAAGTTTGGTGTATAGAAAGATCTTCAGAGTCCATTCCATCCTGGGGTTTGCATCTTATGATGACTTCTTCATGTCCACTTTCTCCCTTTGCCTTTAAAGTTGGAGAAAGGGGTGGATCTTTCTGTTTCAAATCCTTCTCAGAAGTTGATATGGAGCTTGCTTCACAGCTTTGAGCATTTGTTAACACTAAAGGTAGGTTTTTCATAATTGGGGATTTCTCCGAGGTCCCACCTAATTCTTCTGGAATAGAACATGTAGCAGCTGAGCGTGAGTTTCCTGAATTCTCTGTACTTGTCAGGTTCCCTTCACGAACATTGCTTTCTTGACTTCCAGAACCACCAGATAGAGAGAACACCTCCAAAGAACCATCCCTTGATTTCCCATCTATCTCCATATCACTAGAGTCATTATCAACTTGTTCTGGAGGTAGAGGCTCATGGTTATTTTGTAAATTTCCTTTGGTTTGGCTTTTCAATCTTGAACTGTTGGCTTGCTGCCCCTTATAATCTCGATAAACTGATGAAACCTTATCTCGGCTTATGACTTTTCTGGCACTTCGAGCTTTGGATTGATCTGAAGGGGGTAAAGCTTTTTTAGGATTGTATGTCCTGTATCTTGATGGTATTACGCATGAATGTGGCGAGGCATGCTTTCTTTGACTGCTTAATGCAAGATTCTTCATCCCCGAACAAATCTCTGACATTGGAGTAGGAGACTGAAATGAAGTACCAGTTCTCTCGGTTTTCTTTGGCGTTTGGAAGACCAAGGCCTTTGCAACCAATCTACTCTTCGGAACTGCAACACTCTTTTTTGGGTTCTGAACACTATGAAAAGAATCTGGTTTCGGGAGGCATTTTTTGTGCCTAGGAGTAGTCAAAGCTTTTGTAGCAATTGAAGATTGCTTTGCCTTCACATTTGGAGTCGAATTAAGCTTGTAAATTGGATGAATTTTCAATTTGGTATCAGCCATCCTTTGAGAAACAGATGTAATTGCGGCCAATCTTGATATTCTACTCTTGTAAGATTTTGCTGGTGCTGAAAGAGGGCRTTTCGCATTTGCACTAAAAGATAATAACAAGTAAAAAGTGTCACTGAATTATCAAAGGTAAAAAGAGAAGAAATAGTGCAGTGAAAGTATTGCATACCGTGGAGCTTGTCTATTTAATGCCTTTTGCAGTTTCAAGTTGGGGCTTCTTGCTGCCATGACCTGTATGATTGAAAGGTCATCTCTGACGCTATGTACTAATAAGATCAATAGAAGGAAATACCAAAGCGAATAACTAACCCGAAGCACAAAATTTCTGTAAAGGGTATCGGGATCCAGGTCTTCCTCATGGTTTTGATCACATCCTGAAAGACAACCAGACAGAAGGAAAGATATCCATAAATATGTCCTCGGAAAAAAAGGAAGATCCGATGAGAACATCAAAGAAAAAAATGAAAAGGGAAATGACTGCATAACAGACATAAACCAGTAAGCTTGTCAGTACTGAAAGCAATCAAAACCAAGAGCAAGGAGTACAAACGGAATCTGCAGGAAGAGAGAACAGAATTTCGAGCCTTAACTTTGTTGTCAATATAAGAAACTAAAAGAAGAAGCAATTGAGGTTCAGTTTAACATTTAAGACCAGCATAAGAAGAACAATAGAAGCTTGGGTTAAAACAAGGAGGTTGAAATTAATTTAGATTAGACAAAGTGAAAGCAACACAGGAGCAGATTTTAGTCAGCAGAGGAGAATGTGAATGATGGAACTTGTAGACATTTTAAGTTGCATGCAAATCAAATGAAAGATCTGGAAATAGAAACAAATAAACAACCTAGACAGTGAAAAAGAAATCAAAATCGATCTAGGCAGCAAACAGGGGAGATAAAGTCAGGTTAAACAAGATTAACTGCCTAACCATTGAAATCCGCAGAACTGGAGCAAAAACCAAGCGGAATTCGTAGTTAAACGAAAAGAGATAGACCTATAACTCACCAACACGCAAACAAAACCAGAAACGATCGTCCGGGCGTGATAGATCAGGTACAGTGAAATCCACAAACTTGGGGGCTTCGATGTTCTCATAGAATTCGTCATCGTCTTCGTTGTTGTGGCGGACCACTGATAGAGGTTGTTGCTCCATCTTCTCGGACCTTCGCTCGGAAGTTGCGCAGGCGGAGAGTGTCGGAAAGGGGTGGTAATGAGATCTGAGTTAAAGAAGAGATGCGTTCGTTCTTTCTCGCATTGGTTTAAATACCCAGTTTTCTAAGTAGCCGTTGGAGGGGAAGGGGGGGGGGGGGACTTTTCGGGCAATATTTGGATTTTGGATAGAAGTCGAGAACCGAATGTCGGTGGCATACTTGTAAATCAACGAAACCCTCGACCCTCGTCACTCGTCAGACAAGACCATACATTCCAACGCAACGGCGCAACGCTCGTATAGGGGACCCGATCTCTAAGAAGAATTCGGCTTTTGTCACTTGTCAGGGCAAGTTGGTGCTCGCGAGACCGGATCTGCTCCGCTCCTCACACACGACGCCTCACAAGTCACACCAACCTCAGAGGCACATTTCACTGTGCATTCAAACAGCCCAACACTGTCCCACCCAACCAACTCTTGTAAATATAATCCAGAGTTTTGTGGAATGGACGGAAACTATATGGGGCTAGCCCACTCAATTCGGAACCAGGCATTCCTCAAGGACCAGAATTAGGCTATGTTGACCCCAACCCAAATCTGTCATAACTTAAACCAAATTTTGTTCCGTAAATAAAGATTAAATGAATTAATACCAAAACATGGACACATGGGTATTATTATTATTATTATTATTATTAGGATGAGAAAAAAACCTAAAAAATGTTGGGAATAAATTTCAATGAATTCCAGAAGCGCTGCCTAGAGTTTGCATCCTGTGAATCCACGGGTTCACGGGAAGCATGAAATCGTCAACCTGCAAATTAAAATCAAATGTCATTTTTCAATTCGGATTAGCTGAATGCTTTAGTTGTTAAGCTGAGTGTTCCACGTCACTAATAAATTAATAAGAGAAAAAAGTACCGAAACACTCATGCAGAATTCTGAAATCCAGTCCCCTATTAGTAGCCCTGCCCCCTTATAAATCACATATTGCCTGTGAATTTGACATCAATTTACAGTCAGATGCATTCCACCTGTAATTTGGGACTATAAAATTCTGATCTGGGCGGATCGATCATTCTCCCTAAATTAATATAGCTGTCCGTATCCGATTAATAGAGATCACACTGCCAACATTTTCCGATGATGACATCATCAATGATGTGCTGAAGCGTTGTGGGGCGGAGATGTTAACTCCAGTTAATAATAGTCCAAATAATTGAACGAGTGACAAAAAGACAAATAATTCCATCGTCTCTCATTGTAACTATGCCACCAGCCACCACAACAACTGACCTTCCCTCTCGAACGACGACGTCCATGGCAAAGACAAGAACGCCACTATGTGCTCCCGATTGCATCATCCACATCGTAATGACTCTCGATGCCGCCTATCTCCGAGGTTTCAGGGATTTAATTCTCTTCGTTATTAGCGTCAACGGACCTTCCCACCTATCTCCGCTCTTTTCCAACGAAGAACGATTGGATCAAGATCAGTCTAATCACCCTCAACTTCCAGAACTCCGCATTTCCTACCCTGCATACCATTTGGTGAGCTAAGTTGGCCTCGACGTTGTTGCCGACGGCGTGTCGAATCCGTCGTCGTACTCCGGGTACCGATGTTCCAGCAAGAGACGATAGTTGATGGAGACGACGACGGCAGATACGGTACGTGCTATCCGGCAGCAAACAAAGCCGTAGCCCTTGGAGTCGGCACTTTGTAGGGCGAACCCCCCGCCGTGGAAGAAGACGATCACCAGCTGGTTTGGTGGGGGGATGAAGACACGAACCTACCTTTGTTCTTGTTCTGCAGCCGGCTTCAGAGCAATAGTTGAAGAAGAAGAAGAACGCATCAAAAATAAGATTGATTTCTGGTCACCACTGGTGGCTTCCGCGTTCACGGACGTCGGTGTGCAGTAAACTCGTTGGTGGACACTTCTGGGTTAAACTTGTTGTGTTTGAAGGAGTCTACTACTAATACTATGTCAGGATCTGATGACAAATGTTCACCACCACGGTTGATGCCTCTCTCGCCTCTCCACCTCCTACAGATCCTAATTCGGCTATTGGCTCTTCACTGATCTGATGACAAATGTTCACCACCACCACATGGCATGCGCTCCATCCAATAACTATTAAATCAACTACACCTGTTCCAAGAGCGGATTTGCTCCTCACACAGAGCACCTCACACACACATCATACCATGCATTGGGAACATCTCCCGTACTTATAAGTTATTATGCATGGGAGATGTTCCCAATGCATGGTGGATGTGCTTGTGAGGCGCCCATGTGTGAGGAGTAGATCCCGTTCCACCTCCACCTTATTCTCATATGATTGTCTGATCCAACCAGCATGCTCTCACCACTCGTCATCCCCTACCTAGCGCATTATTTGCTGAACATAATGCTGCTCTTTTCGAATTAAGTTGCTTCTCTCAAGCTAATAAATCTTCAGAATGGCATGATGCCATATCCAAAGAATTCAATGCCTTATTATACAATGGTACCTGGTCCTTGGTGCCTCTGTGATGCCATGTCCAAAGAATTCAATGCCTTGTTATACAATGGTATTTGGTCTTTGGTGCCTCCATGATGCCATGCCCAAAGAATTCAATGCCTTATTATACAATGGTACTTGGTCCTTGGTGTCTCCACCCTCTCATGGTAATATTGTTGTGTGCAAATGGGTCTATAAAGTTAAAAAGAAAGCCGATGGCTCCCTTGAATTCGTTTGGTAGCAAGGGGTTTACTCAACAACCTGGTATTGACTTTACTGATACTTTCAGCCCTGTTGTGAAGCCCACCACCCTCAAAACGGTTCTCACCATTGCTCACTCTCGTGGCTGGCCCATTCGCCAACTTGATGTTCAGAACTCCTGTCTTCATGGCAAACATCGTGAAGAGGTATACATGTCTCAACCACCGGGATTTGTAGACTCGGATCATCCACAGCACGCTTGTCGGCTTCACAATGCTATCTATGGATTGAAACAATCTCCTCGGGCCTGGTTTTTTCATCTATACTCCTTGATTCAGGAGGGGTTCACTGCTTCTACATGTGACAGCTCTCTCTTCATATTGCATAAGGGTTTAGTCATAATTATTGCCTTGGTTTAGGTGGATGATATACTTCTTACATCAAACTCTTAACCAGCCATTGATCACTTACTAGTCCAACTTCACTCAACATTTTCCATTAAAGACTTGGGTCCTCTTCATTTTTTTTCTTGGGTTGGAGGTTCATAACAACGGTGATCGTTTCTTTCTATCTCAGCGCTACTAACTATATCCTCAGTTTACTTGACAAAGCTGAAATGCTCAACTCCAAACCTATCTCCACACTGATAGACGCATGGCCCATGCAGGTGTGTGACGTGGCATAGGGAGAAGAGCAGCAGATTTCCTCCATTTTCTCTTCATTTTCTTGTTAGTTTATTTCTCTTCTATTTCCTTGTAACCTGTACATAGGAATAGTTCAATAAAGCCAAGGTGTTGGCCTTAGGAAGTAGTCAATTTGGTTAAGTAGTTATTACTTAAGAATATGTCAAGTTGTTAGTGGTTAAGTAGTTATGTTCCTATGGCTTAAGGATAGGCTAACTACTAGACAAGCTAATCCCTTAATCGGTGGCTATGTTAGCGGAAGGAAGTTGAGAATTTTCTTGTATTTAAACACCACCCATCCAACATGGGAGGGCAGTTGAAGTTAAATAAATCTTATGGTTAAGAAGAATAGTCTTTCCTTTCTAGCTTTGACTGGGACATATCAATTGGTATCAGAGCTAGGCACCATGGCTACTAACAATGAGAGAATTAAGAGTTTAGAGGCTGGACTTGGAGGACTCCAAGATAGCTTTAGTCGTATGGAGGCGGGAGTAGCTGATAAGTTCCATCAGTTAGAAGATGCCATCAACAAATTATCGGAAGCTCTACTCTCCAACCGTGTTGCATCGACTGCCAACAACCTCGAATTTAAGGCAAACTCTCCTACCGGGCGTTCTCGCAACATGAGAAAAGAATCTCGAGACAACTCCAAAGTGGGACGACAACTGTTCTCTTCCAAACTAGCCAAATTGGAGTTTCCTTAATTTGTGGGAGATGATCCCATCAAATGGTTCACAAGTGTAGATCAATTTTTTGAATACCAAGGCACTCTTGAATCTCACAAGGTATCCTTGGCTTCTTTCCATTTGGAAGGCGAGGCTAATCAATGGTGGCAATGGTTGAAAAGATCCTATAAGGAATAAGGCAAAGAGGTGACATGGGAAATTTTTCAAGAGGAACTTTGGGCAAAATTTGGTCCTATAGAATGTGAAGACTTTGACGAAGCATTGTCAAAGATTACACAGGTGGGCTCCTTACGTGATTATCAAAAAGAGTTCGAACGGCTGGGAAATCAGGTACAAGGGTGGACTCAAAAGGCATTGGTAGGCACCTTTATGGGAGGTCTTAAAATTGAAATAGAATATGGGATTCGGATGTTTAAGCCAAAATCCTTGAAGGAAGCCATCAGTTTAGCTAGGATGCAAGACGAGCAGTTAAACCGTCAAGAGAATGCTACATGTCCATTCAATAGGACCACTATTGACTCTTCTCCAACGAAACTGAAGTCTGCTTCACCAATGAAACGACTCACTTGGACGGAGATAAAAAGGAGGCGTGCTCAAGGCCTTTGTTTTAATTGCGATGATAAATTTGTATCGGGGCACAAATGCAAAGGGTCGCAGTTGCTGTTGCTTGAAGGAAATTATGACGAAAGTGAGATAGATGACGAAGAGGGAGCGCACACCAACCTTCGACGAGCTATGGAACAGATACATCAAATTGAACCTTGAGGATAAGGTCCCTCTAAAAGACGGGGACAATGATAGACGCATGGCCCAGTCAAAGCTAGAAAGGAAAGACTATTTTCTGAAGGTGAGAATAAAACCATAAGATTTATTTAACTTCAATTGCTCTCCCATGTTGGATGGGTGGTGTTTAAATACAAGAAAATTCTCAACTTCCTTCCACTAACATAGCCACTAATTAAGGGATTAGCTTCTCTAGTAGTTAGCCTATTCCTAAGCCATAGTAACATAACTACTTAACATATTCTTAAGTAATAACTACTTAACCAAATTGACTATTTCATAAGACCAACACATTGGCTTTATTGACCTATTCCTACGTACAGGTTACAAGGAAATAGAACAGAAATAAACTAACAAGAAAATGAAGAGAAAATGGAGGAAATCTGCTGCTCTTCTCCCTACGCCAYGTCACACACCTGCATGGGCCATGCGTCTATCATTGCCCCCGTCTTTCAGAGGGACCTTGTCCTCAATGTCCAATTTGATGTATCTATTCCATAGCTCGTCGAAGGTTGGTGTGAGCTCCCTCTTCGTCATCTGTCTCACTTTCGTCATAATTTCCTTCAAGCAACAGCAACTGCGGCCCTTTGCATTTGTGCCTCGGTACAAATTTCTCATCGCAATTAAAACAAAGGCCTTGAGCACGCCTCCTTTGCATCTCCATCCAAGTGAGTCATTTCATTGGTGAAGCAGACTTCAGTTTCGTTGGAGAAGAGTCGATAGTGGTCCTATTGAATGGACATGTAGCCTTCTCTTGACAGTTTAGCTGTTCATCTCGCATCCTAACTAAACTGATGGCTTCTTTCAAGGATTTTGGCTTAAACATCCGAATCTCATCTTCTATTTCAATTTTAAGACCTCCCATAAAGGTGCCTACCAATGCCTTTTGAGTCCACCCTTGTACCCGATTTCCCAGCCGTTCAAACTATTTTTGATAATCACGTAAAGAGTCCACCTGTGTAATCTTTGACAATGCTTCGCCAAAGTCTTCACATTCGGTAGGACCAAATCTTGCCCAAAGTTCCTCTTGAAAAATTTCCCATGTCACCTCTTTGTCTTCTTCCTTACAGGATCTTCTACCATTGCCACCATTAATTAGCCTCGCCTTCCAAATTGAAAGAAGCTAAGGACACCTTGTGAGATTCAAGAGTGCCTTGGTATTCAAAAAAATTGATCTACTCTTGTGAACCATTCGGTGGGGTTATCTCCCGCAAATCGAGGAAACTCCAATTTGGCTAGTTTGGAAGAGAACAGTTGTCGTCCCACTTCGGAGTTGTCTCGAGATTCTTCTCTTGTGTTGCGAGAACACCCGATAGGAGAGTTTGCCTTAAATTCGAGGCTGTTGGCAGTCGATGCAGCACGGTTGGAGAGTAGAGCTTCCGATAATTTGTTGATGGCATATTCTAACTGATGGAACTTATCAGCTACTCCCGCCTCCATACGACTAAAGCTATCTTGTAGTCCTCCAAGTCCGGCCTCTAAGCTCTTAATTCTCTCCTTGTTAGTAGCCATGGTGCCTAGCTCTGATACCAATTGATATGTCCCAGTCAAAGCTAGAAAGGAAAGACTATTCTTCTTAACCATAAGATTTATTTAACTTCAACTGCCCTCCCATGTTGGATGGGTAGTGTTTAAATACAAGAAAATTCTACTTCCTTCCACTAACATAGCCACTGATTAAGGGATTAGCTTGTCTAGTAGTTAGCATATCCCTAAGCCAAGTAACATAACTACTTAACCACAAACAACTTGACTTATTCTTAAGTAATAACTACTTAACCAAATTGACTACTTCCTAAGGCCAACACCTTGGCCTTATTGACCTATTCCTACGTACAGGTTACAAGGAAATAGAACAAAAATAAACTAACAAGAAAATAAAGAGAAAATGGAGGAAATCTGCTGCTCTTCTCCCTACGCCACGTCACACACCTACATGGGCCATGCGTCTATCACACACCAATCCCACAAAAATCCTCTTTGTTGTCATTTGATGGTGTACTTCTTGATGACCCCACCTTATATTGAAGCATTGTTGGATCGCTATAGTATGTGACATTGACGCAACCAAATCTCTCCTTTGCAATCAACAAGGTGTGCCAATTCCTTCCTCAACCCACCACAGTGCATTGGCAAGCTGTCAAACGCATCCTACGATACTTGAAGCACACCATCTCACTAAACCTTGTCATAAACTGATCATCTCTCTCTTCCCTCACTGCCTTCACCGATGCCGATTGGGCTGGATGCCCAGACGACAGAAGATCTATGGGTGGTTTCTATGTTTTTTATGGTGGTAATTTATAATCTTGGAGTGCCAAGAAGTAGCCGACGGTGGCTTGCTCCAGCACAGAATCTGAACTACGGGCACCTGCCAATTATGGCTTAACTTTCTACTAAAGGAACTTCATGTCTCACTCCCATCACCACCCACTGGTGTGATAATGTTAACACCACGTATCTTGCTACAAATCCCATGTTTAATGCCTGTACAAAACACATTGAAGTAGATTTCTACCTCCTTCGAAATATGGTCCTAAACCGCTAAACCTACAGTTGAATGTTCGGTATATCAGCTCTCATGACTAAGTGGCGGATATCTCCACCAAAGGCCTGCCATCTTCCCGCTTCTCTCAGTTACACTCGAAGCTCAACCTTATCCGTTGATCTTGTTTGGGGATGTGAAGGATAAATCCTAAGAGTCCTCAAGATAACTCTTGGATATCAATCTCTTATCCTAAGAGTCCTTAATTAATTGTATAGTTGTTCCTGATCTGGCGTAAATGTTCAAATTCAACTAAACTCAAACTCTTGTAACTCTGTATAAGAAATACAACTTCCGCTCATTAAGTAGGTGATTCCTATCCATTACTTAATCAATGTTTACACGGTTCAACCAGATTCTCTCAATATGAATATGCCGACGTAGGTGGCGTTCGATAGCACTGAACTGAGCTCCGAATGCCGAAATTGTTACTTTTCGGCTCTCTGGGGTTGTTCGGTAGCACCTCTGAACCAATCCTCCGAACACTGAAAATGCTTCCGATTTATTCAAAGTCCGGAGGTAACAACGAAATATATTTTCCCACTCTACCCTCCTCCTCCTCTTCCGTCTCCTTCTTCCCTCTGCAATCAACAGGGAGAATGTGCATCTTGTGTTTTGCAACAGGGAGAACGTGCCTCTTATGCTCTACAACAGGGAGAACGTGGATTCAACAACTGTGCTCTTTTTCTTCTCTCGACAGAGGAGCTATTTGAAGAGTTCTAGTTCTAGTTCAGCTTGGATGTGTAAGAGTTGGGAGGGAGCGAAGGAGACTCTGCTTTGGAGGATGAGATTTTGAGTTTTATGCAGAAATCCAACAAAACAAGAAGCCGCCAAAGAAAAACTCTGGTTTGCGATGAGGAGATCAAGAGAAGCAAGTAGTCGTCTTCTCTGATGAATCAAAAAATCGAAACGAGGTGCTTCATTGTAAAGAAAATCTTTGCTGTTTCTCCTTGACCATCTTGCCTTCCCGGTTTTGCACGAATTGATCGCAGTTTATCTTGGTTGTTCATATTTTTCAGGTTCTTGGAACTACCAAGCATCATAAAGCATTTGTAACTCCGATGATCTTTTTGTCGTGTGGAAGAATGCTTAATAGGATTTTAAGAAATTACCTTTAGAATTGGACTCTCTTAAAAACAATACATGCAGCCAGGCACAAAGTAACAATGCCAGGTGAAATGATACTTCTTTTACCACCCAATGTTTAATAAAATGCATTCGCACACTTGCCAAGTTTTATTCTTAGATGCCTTTGCTAGTAGTTAATTATGTGGAAAAGAAGACAAAAAAAAAAAAAAGAAAAATCAGTTTATGCTTCAACAGATTAATTTGCATATTATGTTTTGAAATGTCCTGTAATGAGGTTGATTACTTTTATAAATTTATTCTTTTGAGATTATTTAATAACCTCTTTTATTATTTTATAATATTTTTCATAATATTATAATATTTTAGTCATTTTTTATTTAATACTATTTAAATAACAATTTGAAGGGTAAACTTGTAAAATGCACTTTTTTTTAGATGTTGCAACATTCAGTCATTCATATTACCATTATATTCAGACATCTACAAAATGTACTTTTCATTTTTTTTTTTTTTTTTAACTATCGTAGTCGATTTTGATTTGCAGATTCACGCTTTCTGTGAACCCACGGGTTCAGACGATACGAACTCAGAAATACGCAGTACAGACAAACGCCACGAAATCACCTTGTCCGACTCGCGAATAGAAGGTTCTAAACTAAATAATACCCGCGATAAATAGTTAGTAACTTAAATACTCCCCTTGCCGAGCGAGGGAGAGAGAGAGAGAGTGGGGAGGCAGAACAGTGAACCGTCAGCTCAGTTGGTGCTGGATGAGAATTAATGCAATCTTGCTTTGCTACGCTCTCTCAACTTGGGATGCCTCCTCCGTCATGAAATATGCTGTATAGATTGCAAGATATGGCCACGATGCTGGAAGACACGGCCAACACCATCATCAACCATGATAACCTTGTATCAGTCTTTGTAGCTATTCCATGACAATCCCTGTGCATTATCAAAAACAATCACTATGTGACCATGTGAGTCTGTGAGTTGTTGGAGAATATAATTGAGTCCATATCTTAGTTTGTGTGTCTCACACACTCAACTCACCTAAGAGCAACGGCGGCAGGAAAGATGAATGCGATGGAGACAGCGGCAGTGGCTCCGGTGAACTGAAAGGCAACCCAGATGTTGGGCACGAAGTTGGCCCCGAGGAAAACTATGCTCATGAGGGCCACGGTGAGGGAGATGAACCTCTGGCCGTCATGGACGATGGGGATGGCACAAGGACCAGGGAAGAGGAGGCCATCGACGTTGAGGCGGAAGGAGAAGAAGATGACGGGGAAGACGAGCATGAGGTGGAGACAATAGCTAATCCTCACCATGTCGCTCAACAGGGAACCGTACGGGATGTTGAGGTTAGCATCAAAATTGGCGAGCACATCATCTAGCGTCTGCTCCCCGAAAAGCAGGTATCCAAAGAAGCTGGTGGCGACATAGATGCAGGTGCAAAGCGCGAGGGATGTTCGGACAATGGATTTTATCTGGCTGGGGTCCTGGAGCTCGTTCTCAATCGGGTGGACTACATGCAAAAGAAACCCGACAACTGTGTTTTCAGGAGAGAGAGAGTTCAGTTGTAGGTAGCAAAGAGACTAGGTAGCTACTTACTACTGTGGTGGCAAATATAAGCGGTGACGAGCACGGGGATGGTGGTAAAAAGCTTCCAAAAAGATGATCCATCGACGATGTTAGGCAGCAAGCGTGGCAATCCAGTGATGCTGCCATTCATCAATTTTACTACAGTAATCCATGCTGTTACCGCTACGAAAACCACGGCTAATGCCACCGACAACGCCGATGTGTATCTCAACGAATCTTTTTTTTATTTTAAAAAAAGATAGAATCCAAATCAAAATCACGGATGTAAGTATAAAAAATTAATTAATGGAAAAGGAAATGATTGACATTAAAGACGGTAAAGGAAGAAGATTGTATGTAATATAGTAAGTACTACGTACTAACCGACGCGCTTGAAGGAGATCAAGGGAGCTAAAACAAGGAGAGTGGTGAGCAGCAGTAAGAAGAAGCGGGAGGTCCACCACTGGCAACCGAACCAGCCTTCTACAACCCCTGTGTGATGCGCACCGCCGGACCATGTCCCCGACAGCACGTCCCCTTTTTCCATTTTTGATTTACCCACATAACACATTAACACCGTCACAAATTACTAATTATACCATTAATCAATATACATGAACTTACTTTACAGCCTGCCAATAGCAATTTAGCCATAGCCCATAGACCGATAGACGTGGTGGTCGCAAAATATGCTGTATTATTGATTTGTCAATATTTTCAACAGTAACAGGTGAAGTAATCTAATACGAGCAGGAGCGGAGCCAGGAATTATAAGTTTTACTGTATTACTATGAAGATTTTCTGAACCTATGACCCCCCTGGGTCCGCCCCTGAATACGAGTCCGGATCTATTCCTCACATATCGCTCTTCACACCAACCTTACAAGTTACAACGACTCCCAGCTGAGGACCTGAGGTTGGTTGGCCGTTGGTGTGAGGTGCGCTCTGTGAAAGCAAATCCCAATTCATTTAATACAAATGAAGATACGTGTATAATAAACGAATGTGTTTGAATATATTTACATATATTTTATTGGCATTATAAAACATAATTATTTATTTTAATCTTTTTAAATGAAATAAAATGAATTTGATATCATAAAAAATATGAAAATTTTCATAGGGACGAAGATACCCTTTATCTCTATAGGCGGGTATGGAACGGGGATAGAGAGAGATTTTCACGAGATAGGAATGTGGAGGAGTGGACCGAGTGGTTTGTTGCCCGTCCCGAATTCACTTTTGCTACAACAGTGACGCAGTGTAGGGTTAAAAGTTAAAACAGAAAATCATATGGCCTTGGATCTATTGCAATGGCCCCACCAAGAAGATGGGGCCATGCATGACAGTAAATCAAACGCTTAATATATACTTATTGTTTCAGTCAAGGGGTTTGCCCAGTCCCCTCCTTACTCCTTACCCAATGCCATTCCTCCAATTCCAAGATGTTTACAATGAAAATTTATAACCACAGGAAAGACATGAAAGCAAATTTTGACCAATCAAAACCGTCCTGATGAATTTTGATGAAAATCTACCTGATTTTTACGATTTAAGTTTTTCTGGTATCGTTTTCACAGAACATGAGCCCCACATCACATCCCAACCGTGTAGATGTTCCCAATCCACGCTAGATGTGCAAGTGGGGCGCCGATGTGATCTCTTTTAATATATGATAAAATTGCCAAATCAATTTTGATATGGATATCCGAAATGGCCGTTTTCACTTGCAAATGACACATATAACCGTAATAATAATAATAACCAGCATCGGCCGGCAGCAGTTCCTTACCGATGATGATCATGTAGACTATCAGCAAGCCCAGATTATTGACGACAATGCACACCTGCAAGAGTTTCCGCCCCGATCCACCAAATGCGTCCCCAACCAAACCGGAATAAGTTACTGCCTTAGATGCCTGCCCGAATCTCAATATCATCTGAATCGATGTTTCTGTCAACTTGGCCGCTAGCATTATCATCACTAAGCCCGGCAAGAGCCCCAATTCTTTCACTGTCGCCGGCAGCGCCATGATTCCCGCCCCAACCACGCTCGTGGACAAGTTGAATACCGCCCCGGAGAACGATGCCCCGTCGAAACCCACTTCACCCGCTCCGAATTCCTCATTCTTTCGGGGGAGGAGAGGGCTTCTGGCACTCCAACGGGATTTCTTCTCGCCGGCGAGAGCCATTGTCGTCTCCCTCTCCCTCCCTCGTTCCCTCACTCTGACTCTTCGTCTTCGGACCCGACACCGACACTTGTTCTTTGGAAAGTACCGGGAGGGAGGCAGGGGAATGGATTTCCAAGGGTATTTAATTGGACATCGAAATAACTTTTCTAATTTCTATTTCTGTCATACGCGGGAGACAACACCTACAACTACCTAACAGCCACATGTAATAGGATTAAAACACGTGGATTAGCTGAATCCTCAAATCCTTCCAGCAAAGACCACGAGAGTCAGCCCCCAACGAGATTGCCTCGTCCCAGAGCACATCTCACCGTGTATTGGGATCATCTTATTGTAGGTTAACCATCCCTATTCCCTTAATTAGGGATGCTCACGGCTCGGTTATCGAACCGTGCTCCAGTAATAGAATCCGATTGCCTAACCGATTGACTGGTTCAGTTAATAATAGGTTTTTCGATTTTTTTACATTTACAATATATATTATAAAAATATATAAGTATATAATAAAAACTATAAATATATAAAATATTATATTTTAAATAATAAATAATAGATTATATATTATAAATATATATTTATATATAATGTATATTTATTAATTTATAATATATAAAATATACATGAATATATATAAGTTGGTTCGGTTAACTGTCAGTTTTCTATATTGATTAATCGAAACCAAACTGATACCTTTAGTTTTTAAAAATACAAAATTCAAACCAAACCAACCGGTTCGATTAACTAAATTTTCAGTTTGGTTTTGGTTGATTTTTTTGTTCAGTTTAGTTTTTCTTGCGCACCCCTACTTAATCCCCACCCCCATCCGGCATCTAATAAAATGAAAGCAAGACACTGTTTGTTTGGGTTTAGAGATGTAAATCGGGCCATATTGCCCGTGGCCCGGCATGAACTTGGACCGACCCGGCATGATCATGGGGGTCGTGTTGGGCCTGGGGTTTTAGGTCCACGGGCCGACACGGTATGGCACAACCAAGTGGGCCATGCCACTTGCAGCCCAGCTCGTGGCACGACCCATATATATATATATATATATATATATAAAATAAATAATTTTTTTAATTTTATTATACTAATTTATTTGACTATTGTATATATAAGCAATTGTATACACAAATCATATAAAATTAAAATTTTAAATTTTTTGTCAATTTTTTTAAATAAATAGCTTTGGCTTGATGCACGGCCTAACCAAGCCCAAGACTCGGCCCATAGGACAGCCCAGCCCACGGCATGGCACAAGCCGGCACGGGCCTGGGCCATAGGCCGTGCCAGGCCGACCCCAAAATTTTCATTGGGGAGGGCAGCATGGCTCATAACGACCCATGGGCCAGCACGGCACGGCCCGCACTTTGCAAGAGTCACCCACAGGCCGTGCCGGACCCACTTTACACCTCTTTTGGGATACAAATCTGAATTTGAATATTAATTTTGCATCTGGTTCAGTTTTGTAATTATGATTTACTCTACCTGATACAAAATTTGCACCACCACCTTCTGTCAATATTTTGCTCATGTAAAACCATGTCATCTTGCTTGTTTCCTCGTTCTCAAATAAATAGCTCTTCTATCTCTATTGCTTTCAGATTTGCTCTCCTGTTTTGAGATCAGAGTGAGGGGATCTTGTGAGGAACAGATTCGGAGTTACCTCTATATAAACCAGAATTTGCACTCAGCCTACTTGTACTCCCATGCATTTACACAATTGCAAATGAAGTGTCCCCATTTAGATCTTTTAAAAAATAAGTAAATCCAGAACATCACATGAACTTCTTCAACCCCATAATGTGAAATGTCAATCCAAATTCCAAAATCACATGAATAGCATTTCCTCAAAACCTTCTACGCGGAACCACTAGTCGGAACTCGGGACAATGAAGAATGCTAATCCAAACCAGTCGGAGCAGCAGTATGACCCTGAATCCTGATCTACCACGTAATGTGGCAAGTCTTCCAACTTATGTACCCTATTAGTCGGTTCAAGACCAATAGAAAGATGCTTAAAAATGCCTTTATTGGCCCCTAGACTCAATTGCGTTCCGTTTAGCAACAGCAAATTTACATAACCATTTAGAACGTAAATTACGTAATCGATTCGAAGTCCTTTCATTTCTCCATGTAAATTGAGCCCAAGGTACAATTCCGAGGATCATTTAGCCAAGTACAGGCTGAAGTACAATTCCAAAGCTCATTTGAAAAACCCAACTTAAGACTAACCCTGCTCCAGTACTCCCTGCTATGTTTGACTCGTTTAAAGGAAGAGGTTTTCCTAACCCCATTACCGCAGTTTTAAAGCACTGAACTGAATGCGCGCAAGGTGAGGTTCTTGATTCTTGAAGTTATTACCAAAACAACACACTTATCTTGCTAATTCAGTAGATAAGAAACGACATTGAGAAACCTTATTTACAGTCCAGATCCTTAGGCTGCATTTGAAAACTATGCAAATAAGTGTGAATGCAAATATGTAGAATGTAAAACGGTTTATATAAGTTGTAAAGTTGGATTAGTTTTGCACTAACAAATTTACCTTTTTACCAAACAGACTTTTAGTTGTAATGGATGCAAACATGAATTTCAATAAAGCATATGCTTTTTTTTATTAAAAGCCCACTTGAATGCAAATTTACTTCTTTTTTATTGATGTACTTTTACATCTTATTATCAATGTAAATATGCATTGTTCTGTCATTTGTCAATGCATAAATGTAATGTTACCAAACACAGGCAAAAGTGAACCAGAGTACAAATTTACCCTAAACCGGGATTTACACTCCATTTTGCATCATTTCCAAACGCATCCTTATGTAGTTGAGATGGGAATAGAGAGTCCGTCCAATAATTTCCCCAGATCACTTCCATAGATGCTCAGATCTGCACCCCACAACGTCCTATAGCACATCCCCGCCGTGTATTAAGAACATCTCCCAATGATGACATCATTGATTCTGGTACTATCATCGGGAGATGTTCCTAATACACGTCAGGGATGTGCTGTGGGACGTTGTGGGGCGCAGATGTGAAACTCCTTCCATAGATACCAATAGCAGGGGGTGCAACTTGGACTGGTGCTAGGTTTGGGGCCAAACCAGGCCCACCTCTAAAATTTAGACGGGCCCAGACTCATCATAGATGATAGACCAACATCAAGCCCACTCTGAACTAAACTCAACACAAAGCAGGCTTGGGCAGGTTAGTTGGGTTTTTAAGTTATCAAATCACAGTTACAGTCCTATCGCTTATTTGGGCTTTATATTCTTATTTAGAAATATAATCAAAGAAAAATATCATTGCCTAATACATATTTACATAATACAAGAAAGAATACATGCATATACATGATATGCACATTATGCGTGTTTTACTCGTATTTGTACATGAATGTGTGCCAGAGTTTATCATATACATATTGATAATACATGTACTCTAAAGCATCATAGATTTTCCTTTAGCATATATCTAATGTACATACATATATGGAGTTAATATATTATAAAAGGTTGTACCAAACTGATTCCGGGCCAAAGCTATCTGAGGTGTCGACCCAGGCGTAATTGAAGTTGAAGTCAAGCATGATTTTTTTTTTTCAAGTCCATGCATAGACCAGCCCCAAAGCCCAAAAATCCATGCTAAAACTCGGGTTGGACCACCCATTGAAAAAGCTATGGCGGTTATATAATAAAATTTATGCAAACATTCTCACAAACCATGCCATGAAGCATTTAATGATTTTGGAAATATATGTCTATCTGGTTGCCTGTAACAGTAAAACAAGCATGGACCACACCTAACAAATGACCAGGTCCTATATGTATGACAAACAAGTCCAAAAGAAATCCACAATATAGAATTTGTAGTTGATAGCTTGCACAAAAATGAGGGGGGATGACCCTCGAGAATACAAAGATATAACTGAATATGTACACAAGTATTTATTCTAGATTTAAAATTGCTTGCTTCCATGAGTTGTACCAATTTTGTGACATAAAATGTAGCCATAGAGCTAAGTATGCATGACCAAAATCGTTAACTTACTCAATTACAAAGAGTTGCAGCATTTGCCAAGTGATATCTTCATTCTTTTCTCCTTCTCTTAGAATTTCTCTTTGGATTAGCCTTAATATCTGACTGCAACGATGAAGTAAGCAATTTGTTACTTACAGAGGAGCTCCATAGAGCTCTTTCAACATCAGATGGTGTAAATGAGTCCCCATCTCTGCTTAGTTCCTGTGTATAACCATCAACCAAGTAACAGATAAATGACATATATGGAGTACAACGGCAGCAACTATCAAGGCATTAGAAGCCTCCACTTTTTCAACTTCTACTTGGTGAGCTTAACAATTCTCTGGGCATTTTTTCTAGCAGTATAACCCATATGGCTTGTCCAAATTCTAAGATTATTCTACAAAGTTTGTTCAACACTCTAGTTTTCAGGGATGAGACAATTGAAACCTTGTCTCCAAAGCTGGTCAGACAAGTTCTTCGGTTAGAGGCAGACTCCTCTGTGTACCATAACTAACTTTTCTGTTATTCCTTCCTTAGTTTTGTATTCTATTTGCTAAAATATTCTTCTGAATCTTTTAAATTACTTTTGGAATTAAATTTAAAATGTTAATACTTAGTACTGCATAACCACATTACAGTTTGTCAGCTCCTATTTCTCTGCATCATTTCCTTTAAAAGTCACAAGCTCCTGTCCTACTTATTGCTAGATGAGATCTTGGAATTGAGGTAGGTCTTGTCTAACCCATCCTACATTATTGTCACTTTTCAGTCCTTTCCAGGGCTGATCACTAGGCCCATGCTGTACACCAGGTACATGTCTGATACTTCTAATAAGGATTCATGGTCTTCATCTAAAAATGCAAGATGACGGATCCATGCTCTCTAATTCATTTGAAATACATGCCTGGAACTTCTACAGCACAGTATGGCAGATGGACTCCTATTAGAGATCTGCAATGACTAAAAAGAACATTACCCAATGTTGGTCCAAGCTATCTAGGGTCTTGGGAGGGGTGGAATGGATACAGACCTAACTTTTGGCATTTTTGTTGCACAAAATGGCTGCTCTCAGATTCAAAATCACATGCTTGTCGGTCTGAGATCTGCAACAACTATGCCTCATCATAATCAATTTGTGGCTCATTTTAGAGTAGAAACTGATCTGTATGTGCATGCAATGAACTTAAATTTTGTCCTTCATAAAATTGAAATGGTGTATTTAGTTTTATCATTGTACATACCAAAGGTGCACAACATGTCAACCTTAAAAATCAAGGCCAGGGACATGAGATAAAATAATTAAGTAATTACTAATGAAGACCAAAGTGTTGGGAGTTAGTGCCTTATTGGATCTCTGTTTTACCATGACATTTCGTTTGAATTTCTGTCAACTTATCAGAGTGATAAGTGCTAACAATTTTTTGCTCACTTTGCATGAAGCATGTCACCATCATTATGCTATGCTACATGAGTGTCGGCAAAGCTTGAAAAATTAGTTTTGATGTGTCCTGTATCTGTATAACCAAATGACAATCAAGTCCTTATAACTCCTTAATAAAGTTGAACCATGAAACAGAATTTTTTGTAGCTAACCCCATATCATCAGGTTTTGCTGAGTTGTTTTTGTTGTTTCAGAACACAGAACTATGTTGGGTTGAGTGAAACCAAATAATAATTAAATCGCCTTATGATTTCTTTGTCAATGAGTCCTGTTTCCATGGTGAATGGACTTTTACACATGGCTTCTCTTTTGAAGAAGCTTGAAACTATTTCTCAGCCTAATATGTTCAGTGACATAATTATGTTTTTACATTTAACTTCTACTAGAAAGAAGAGAATCACAAATTTTGTTCGTTTTCTAATCTTGTTCAGCTTAGTAGTTATCTTTGGATTCGATCAACAAGCCGACATTCCATGTTAAACCTCCAATAGTGGACCAAAGTATTAGTTTATATTGATCTGTTGAAGTAGTACCCCAATCTTACCAAGATGCACAAAACATTGAAAACTGTGCAACACATGCCTAGTTCGCATACAGTATCCCGAGGTGCCAATACTAAAGCATGCAACAAAAAGTTGAGATGCTAGGTGTTGTGTGTTCTTGGTAGACATATTCGGTAAGCATCATCTACATTATATAATTCAGCTACTAAGTAATGATAAAAGTTTAAACTAATGCAATCCCAGTCGTTTTATTTCAACATTTCCTTTTGTCCTTTTAGCAATCAGATTATTCCTTCCTATTGATCTCTGTGTCTTTATATATGTGATAATATGCAACTTGTAGTGACTGAAAACTCTCGGAAAACAAAAAGGGCCAGTCACAACGAGACTAGGCGAAGCGCATCACTGCAATGGTTTTAGGATAATCGGACAAACTACTACGGGAAAAAAATATAGGTTCAACATCAGGGTCTCCAGCTTATAGATTAGATAACGGCAATAGTTAATAAACAAATACAAGCAATAAAGACCAAAAAAAAAAAGAAATCAATAGACTGAACTTCACTAACCTTTGCTTTGATTTGTAATTTCTCGGTGAATAGGATATACTGTTTCAAAGAATAATCCTTTGAGCTACCGAGAGCCGCCACCATAGCCTTGTGCGAACCAAAGTGTTAGAAAATATTAGGCTACAGAAGTTACAGAAAAGCCTTCTATGCATATCAATGTGGGGTTGGGGAATGGGAGGATATTCAAAATAAAAAAAAAAAAAAAGAAAAGAAAATCACCTCATCGGACATGAACGGCGCGATATCGGGAGCGTAGGCAGCCAGAACGGCAGACGCGGTGGCGGGGCCGACCCCTTTCAACACCGTGAGCTCGGAAACGGCTTTAGGAACATCGGGAAGAGATTGAAAAGCCATCTGAGATGCAGATTCCACTAAAGTCTCGTCCAGAGACGAGATGAAATCCAACAGACGTGGCCTGACATCCAGAAAAATTATTGATATTTTAAAATGAAAATGGAAATTGACAAATCTTTAAATACTTTCTTTTGGTGAATTGATGCCAGGTTAGGAGTACCTCCATTTTCCCCTTGTGAGTTTCCATTGCATGAGCCTGGAGAGTTCGGGTTTGGTGATGTAAGGATTAGGGTTTCTTTGGTGAAGTAGAAGCGGGAGTTGGTTCCGATAAAAGTCGTCGAGCTCAGGAAGTTGGGGTTTGTTCAGCGATTCTAAGTGAATTTTGTAAGATGACAGTGTTTCTCGCCATACACCGATATCAAAGCATGCAAATTCCATCGTCTCTAATTGGTCTTGTCTTTGGCTTACGCACTCCACTTCTTCTCCCTTACTTTCAGGTTTCAGCTTAATCTTTTAAAAATCTCGCGCCCTTTCCCGTTAGTGTAAATAGGTCGGGTCTATACCGAACTGATTAATAATGGGTTCTGGTTATGTAATTGGCTGTACCGTTTTTTGCTGTTTCCAAAAATTTTTTAAACTAAGTTTAGCTAATTGACTAAGCGTGTGTTTTGTTACGTGAGCGCTTTTGGTGATAGGCGTTTATCATAATCAGCAATTTTTCCATCATAATCAGCAATTTTTCCATCATATTCATCTGTATGTATTGACATTCGTAAAAATAGATATTGATATTCGCAAAAGTGGATTTTGATTTATATGTGCATCGACTATTAGGGGAAACTTCATTCTAACACTTCTTTTAATGGTTGAACGTTTATTCATTAATGACGCCTAGTTGTCTATAAACGATTTATCAAGTACTTTTCTCGGTTTTGAAGATAAGTCAAGTATAAACGTTTATTTAATAAACAAAAGTTATATGAAGCACATACTAAGTATACCCTTACTGTTTTACTATTGTCTAATGCTACCCCTATTATTTCCGACAATTGACTAGCTCTACCCTTACTATTAGCATTCGTTAATATTTCATCAAAACCCATACACATGTGACACCACATGACATTTATTTTTTTAAAACCCAATGTTACCCTTGTCCCCTTCCTCCTCCTCTCTCTGTCTCTCTCTCACCTCTATTTTCCTCTGATTGTCTCCGTCAGCAATAAATAAGCTGGAACTCTTTAGCAACCAAATCAATGGCTCTTCAACAACAATTACTTCTTTCAAGGGGTCTCTGGCACCCATTACCTCTCAATGGTTCTCCGGCATCATCAGAAGCCTCTCAATAATTCCACCGTCACCGCCCACTACCTAGATTTTTTTTCATTCACCCATTACCTATTTCTTTCTTTTTCTTAATTTTTTTTTCTTTGAATTTCATAATGGAGAGGCTTCCATAGATAAGTGGTTCTCTGGAAGCAATACTCTATGATCTAGAGGTAAGCTCAGATAGCCTGATCTCAACATTTCTTTATCATTGTAGCAGTGGCATACCAATGGTGATGAGTGAGAGAGAGAGAGAATAGAGCACTGCCATAAGTTATTCCCCTATTCTACCCAAAGTCCTCAACCTTGTAGAACTTCAACATATTAAGGTTTTTCGCTCATCCTCTAAGACAAATAACCAAGGCCCCGTTTGATGATTAAGTGGTTGTTAAAAGAAGTACTTGTTGTGCAAATACTTCTTAGAAGTACTTATTTAAACAACCTTTCGTGACCCACTTGCCAAATCACTTATTATGTTTTTAAGCACTTATTAGGGTGGGGATGTTTCGTAAGCTACTTTCCCCATAAATGCTTATATTGACATAAATGACAATTTTAGCCCTCACTTTACTCATACATATATACAATGCTTTTCACATATTATACTATACATTTTAATGAAAAAACTTCACATCATGACAACTGAGAGCCCACGTGGACCCACACGCAAAGCACCATGTGAACCCAATTAATAATAATAATAATAATAACAACAACAACAGCAACAACAACAACAAATAATAACAAATCATAAATATTATTGATAAATACTAATAATAATAATAATAACAACAACAACAACAACAACAACAATAACAAATAATAACAAATCATAAATATTATTGATAAATACTAATAATAATAATAATAACAACAACAACAACAACAACAACAACAACAATAACAAATAATAACAAATCATAAATATTATTGATAAATAATAATAATAATAATAATAATAATAATAACAAATAAAGAATAATATTGATAAATAACAATAATAATAATTTAACAAACATTGAACAGTATTTCCAAAATTTTTTTTGCATGATTTTTAACAAAATTACAGAATTGCCCCTCTCTTTACATATAGATTTAGACTTGTGAAGCTGAAGGATTGTTCATCATCTTCATCCTGAAGGCAAGAACACAACGACGGTAACCCCCTGTTTCCAATTCCTTCCCCCTCTTCTTTCGTCCATCTTCCCTTTCATTCCTACTCTCTTCTCCTCCCTATATTCTTTTCTTGCTTCTTCCCCATCCCCATACTTTGGTCACAAAAAGCAGCTTGCAGTGGTGATATCCACTTAGTTTTCAGTCATATATCGGTGGTTTATTACTGTTTTTCAGAATACATCTTGATTTGAAGTGCTTCATCAACTTCCTCTGTCATTTTTGGCTCCTCAAATGCATCTGATGAGGGGTAATTTGGCCCGACCTAGCGACCAAGGTACACGTGGATGCGATCAACCACTAGGGTGACAACTCAGCAAGGGAGCTTCACCAGTAGCTCGGGAGCTCGGGGCCTTGAGCACCTTGCCATAAAGGCACCTCGGCACCTAATTCAGTTCGGGGCCAAATAATCAAGGTTCTAGTTCGAAGCCAAAGAACCGAGGTGCCAGTTTGGGACCAAAGAGCCGAAGCGCCACATAATTGACTCCAGAAGCTTCCCCAATGGATTCCGAATCTCCCAGGATCACGATGTCTAATAACAGGGCTCATCCTCACCTTGTCCGAATCAGAGGAAAGTGATAAACCTTATCAACTGGCACATTGCTCTCCTTTGAAAACGGAACGGATCTTATTTATGCAGCCTAGGTATCCCAAAGACTTTTCGTAAGATCACGGCTATTCAACTATATAAAGGCATCGATCCTCAAGGCGAAGGTATGCGCGATTACTCACATTCAAGCTCTCTAGCATTCATACTTAGCTTGCAAACTCACAATATACTGACTTAAGCATTAGAGTGACCTTATCGAGTCTTCCACCCCGGTCCCTCTGAGCATTATTTTGCAGATTGATCCAGCTTACCATGCGAGTACGTCCAGTCCTCCAACTAGGAGCTTCCAGATCGCGCACCATCAGCATCCTTGATCCTCTATTCTTCGTCGACGTGACAGAGGGGATAGTAGTAGCGTTGATTTGAGTTCCTGTTCCTTTAGTGATATCAAGTAGTATTCCCAACTCTAGATCAATCCCTCTTCATTGTCTTTGGTCGTTTTCTGGTTCACTATGTTCAAATGAGAGGAGAGGGAGGTAAAACCCTCCCGTGGGGGTATTTTGGGTATTAAAAAATACCAAGGACTGGTTCGTTCCATTCTATTGGAAGAAGTAGTTCTCCAAGAAGTGTTAAAAAAAAGCCAACTTCAGGTCACTTTTTTAAGAAGCGCTTCTTTTAACAAAAAGTACTTCTTCCCCACTTTTTTACCAAACACATAAAAGCACTTAATAACCACTTAATGTGTGGTCCCAGCTCTTAAAAGAAGTACTTGTTAAAAGTACTTTTTAGAAGTGAAATCAAATAGGGGCCAAGTGGAGTGTAGGTACTTCTAGATGTTGTATTGGCCAAAGTGCAGTTGTCCTCAAGTTGCTTGCCTGCGAAGATAAGGCGCTGATGATCAGGAGGTATGCCCTCTTTGTCTTGGATCTTCACCTTCACATTGTTCATTGTGTCTAAGGATTCAACCTCTAGGGTTATGATCTTCCTGATTAGGGTTATGTCCTCTTTGTGTAAGCACGAACAACCTAAAGAAGCTGAAACTTGATTTTCCAAGGCTTTCTTTCTTTGTTTTCTCTACTTTGTCATTGCTATCATCGGATGTCCCTTGGTCTACTCTGCTCTTCAATTGGTGGCCACCGCATCTTCTCTCCGATTAGCGACCACCTCACCGTCATCTAATGTCCCTTGACCCTTATCACCAATCTAATAAAAAGGTTGCGCCCATTTTCGTTGCAGTAGAGGAAGACCGGCGGTGACAAGAGAGAGAGAGAGAGAGAGAGAGAATGGGAGAGGAAAAAGAGTGAGAGAAGAGAGTTGTAGAGGAGTTGCTACTGCTAGAATTTGCAGTGGTAGTATCAACTCGACGAGTGCTTTCATGGTGGTGAACGCCTTTAAGTGTATCGTTGTGGAAACATCATTATCATGTCCATTCATCAGCTCAGTTTTAGAATCTTGGTCTAGCCAAAACATGCAAGAAACAAATCAGATCCAAGCCTTAGAGATCTGGGTGTCAGTGGAATTTAATGGGAGAGAGGAGAGAGAGAATTACTTTCAAAGGGATTTAACGGATGGGTAAAATTAACATTTCAACCCTTCCATTAATACTTAACAATAATGGTAATTTTTTGAAATAGTAGGGGTAGCGTTAGACAATAGTCAAACATTAAGGGTATACTTGGTCAATTAGCTAAACCATAAGGGTAGTCTAAGAAATTTGCCATTTTTTAAATATTAAGAAAAAAAATCTAGACAATAAATAATCACTTTTCTTAATTGGGTAAGCATTATTTGTCTTTTATTTTTTTTACTTTTTTGTAAAGTTTTTTCTTGACAACTACAAGTACAAATGGGGTCATTTGAGAATAAATAAGAATAACAATATATACAATAAGAAAATAAAATTAGTGTTTCTCTAGGAAATTAACAATATAACAATGATTATTAAGAATGAAAATTTTCTCCAAACCCCCAATCTCTGCCTCGTGGAGATCCCGTCTCCACTATAGGTGAAAGGGATAGTCAACACAAAAGGTCTATTCAGTTAAGCTTAACATGGACATTGACCCTTGGGAAGTTAGTTTTGTACAAGTTCATCGTATTATCATCAATCTTTAACTAGGGCTGCAAGTTGGGTCGGGTTGAGGCCAACCCTAGCCCAACCCGATGTTCTAAACCCCCAACCCGACCTACTCAACCCTAACCCTAACCCTAACTAATTCCTTCAACCCTAACCCAACCCAATGTCAACTTCGGGTTGGGTTGGGCCCAACCCAACCTTCCCATCCCTTAAAATCTAGTAGAAAAATAAGTATTTATTTATCATGAGTTATGACTTATGATAGAATTTTTCTCAAAAATATAAATTCATGAAATCAACAATAATGAAACATAAAATTATGAAAATAAAATCACTAATAACAATTCATAGGATCAAGCAAATAATTTGAATCTATTTGATAGGTCACACATAAAAAT